CTAAGTCAGATTGCGTCCTGTTCATACGGACAGTATCCGACAAACACTGAGAACTCACAATACTATCGCTATCAGCTGATCCACTATCGTAYTCAGATGTGTTCCTAGGGTCCTTATKTACAGGGTCTGTCTCCTCTAAAATAATAACGTTCCCATCAGGGTCATGTGTCAACCAAACTCCTTTCTGATTGGGCATAGGTAACGGACATCCCACCAAATAAGGAAGTAATGTTTCTATATTTGGTATTTTGAAGCACAACCTAGCAACGCTGCAAGGTTCAGGATAAACTTGAGGTAAGCATTTGAGTGAAAGTTGAATGTCAAGGCCAGTCTGCGTGTAAAGTGGAATAAAGCAAAACCCAGGAGATCCATCACGTGACCTGATACCAGTGATTCTCTCATAGAAACTGCGCATGTTCAGAAAATCTTTAACAACAATATGGAATCTTAAATGTTCATTCCCATAATGCACTGGGCAGACAGACCAAAGAGGATGTCRGTGGAACGCCTGGTAGAAATCTTGTCGGGCAGTGATTTGAGGACGGACATCTTTAGGYAGCTCGATGCGATGATGGAATCGCCAAGGCTCTGAGGAGAGGTAGCTTTGCACGGAATTAGCCGACAGCTGCCCGAATGCTTCCGACAAGAAAAGTACAATGCTAAGTGCTGGGCAAACCATTCCTTCCTCTTCGTAATCATTTTCAGAATTTTGATCCCATGCAGTAAGCGGCTCAAATGTCTCTTTTTCTTCTAGGTTTATYAACTGAAAAGTCGGATCAATTCCRTCCAGAAGCGGCGAAAAGAGATTTTTCAAAAAGTTCGCTTCGCCCTTGCTTGTTCTTATTTGGAGTCTGCATTGAAAAGGGTCAGCAGTGTATTTTCCTGAGTCATTAACGTTGCTATGCCGACTATTCATCTTTGGTAATAGTTTAGTGTTATTGCTGAAATGACTCCGTGAATGATGTCTGTCTAATCGCTGATTCTCGGGATGGCTCGTTAAATTATCATCGTCAAATCGCTGATTCTCGGGATGGCTCGTTAAATTACCATCGTCAAATCGCTGATTCTCGGGATGACTTGGGACAACGTCGTCGTAAAATCGTTGAGTGTCGTTGGTCATTTTGGTATTTATTCTAAAATTGTGAAAAAAAGTATCAGTAAAGGCCAAACTAGGAGAGCTCTATGACATCACATAATACTACCAAGACCGTCAGATCTTTGCTTAATATCCTTTGTAATTTACCAACAATAATTATTTACACCCCAAAGAGGGATTACAAATATCGTGGTCTTTTTAGCAAACTGATCGGTTACATTTTGTTAAAGGGACACTGTCAATGGATGACATGCGCAGTAACAGTCTCACCTCTAACGGACTTTGAAAGTATAACCTTCGAGGTAAATCATTTTGTGGTGCTTTTGACACACTTTGGAATATTCTTAAGATCTGTTTACGTTTACGAGCTGATTTATGTCGCGCCAACMTGGAGTCATAAACTTGAAAACACTAGCCTAGTGTTTTCAAGTTTACTCGCGCATGCGTGCCATTGACAGTGTCCCTTTAAATTCTTTTCAAGTACTGCACTTTCCCATGAACCCTTTCGGTCTGTAAGTGTTGGATTTTTGGTCTAGTCAAGTGTGAAGGACGTSACATTGTATGTCATGTTCTAAAAACGAATTGAATTAATATATTATACATGGTTGAACTGTTCTAATTATGAAATTAATTGAGCCGTAATCTTTCAAGAATGGCATTTATTTGAAATAAACTAAGCGAATATATTGTCTTATTAGAAGATCAAAATTGAACATCAAAAGTGAACCATTTTTGTTGGTTTATTCACACTGTTCATGACTGTGAATTTCTTTCAAGTTTTTCTGAATTTTAACCTGTCTGAGTGTAAAATAATTGAAATAATGATATATTTTGAAGTACTAACAAACGAACCTCAGAGATTTTGAAATAGTTTAAAGCCCATCAAACTCAAAGCACAGAAAATGAAGAGAGCTCACAGTACGAGTGTCCGTTATTGTAAACGACTTCTCACACATCGTGAATGCAACAATACCTTAATAAAATATATACTAACGATCGATTTATAGTGAATTGGATATCATACTATCCAATAAAAATTCCTATATTAGACACTGGAAATACAATCATGAACTTATCGTAACTCACTTGGCGTCACAAGTCAACTTATGTTGGTCATCACGATCACGAGCTGTCTTCCGTGTTTGGCGTACGTACACTATTGTCAAATCTCCTTAAGAACCGCGACAGCTTATTAAATTGAATTTAAAACTATTGCGTTTATTTTTTAACGTTACTAGCACAAAACCTCGAGCGGTTACAATAATGTTTTGCATCGAAAAACTGATGAAATTGAGAAGAAGTAGTAATCGTGATGCTGAGTGACTTACCAACAACAATTAGGTTGCTTTGACTGGTGCTTTGCCTCTCCTTCAGCTTTCTCGTCGATTCTTTCGAATCAAAGACGACAGAGAAACTTTCACACGAAACCATGAACAACGTCACGTTTTTCTGCAACTGAAAATATCCTAACTAGACCCTGTATGCAGGGTTGACACGTACCCTTTGTTGTGCATGATGTTGTGAGATCATTAGTAAATGAGGCCTTATTAAAACCTTACTGATACAGAATAAAGAAATGATTTGATCCATCGAGCCTTGCCAAGATATATGTGATTTTTGCGATAAGCTTATATGTGGTGGCTCTTAAAATTTCAGCTGTAACTGCCTTTGTGATTCTGCAGTATAATTTTAAGGTCAGATATACCCGGAGATATATAACTAGGCATGATTTGGTTACAACGTGACGCTTTATTAACTTTTGATATGATAGTAACACAATATTTTTGCACNTACACCATCTGTTGCATGTTTTATGGTACAATGTTTGTCTCTATCTGGTTTAGTAAAGCGGTGGACTTTTATCTCAGTTTCGACCAAATTGCTCAATTTCAAATTTTCATGACAACAAAAATATATAAAAAACTTTGTTTTCTCATGTTGTTCCAAGATTGTGTCATCTTSAAWTAACTTCTTAAAATTCTCATCATTGGCGATAATACAACCATTCAGTTCCAGTGGCTCCTGCTTGTCTTTAAGAGTCAGTATTATTGAAGCTGTTCCTTCAGTTCCTTCTGCAGGACGAGGTCGGCCGGGTCCTATCCCATCTTCAAATGGCATTTTCTTGGCCTTTCTTCTTCAACTTACTGATATTCAAATAAACTCCTGAAATAAAAAGCAGGACTGYTGTTTAGTTMTGTAAATAATTCCCAAAAAATAATCTAAGTTATTAATAAATCAATAATAAACATTAAATAAAGAAAAACTGTCTCATTTTCTTTCTTTGCTTTAAAACTCTATTCAAAATGTATTGAAAAAAACTCCATGTTATTAATTATGTTTGATTCTATAAATATCAATAATTAATCAATTCAATCAAGTTTTGTTGGCATGATGATTGAATGATCACATTAAATTTTGATAAAAAATTTATCTCAATTTTTAGCAATTTATGATAGCAATCAATAAAGAAATGCGTGATATTATGGATTTATATTGATATTAATTTTTATTGGTTGACTAATATAAATATGATGTTCCAATCTCTCTTCATATACAAACTAAAAGCTACATACCAAAGTCTTCAAATTTGTGTCCAAAGGTAGTTGACCAAGCAGAATTTCACATTCAAGCGAGATTTATCATCAAATCATGACACAGCAGATGTCCATATACTCAGACAGGCGTTGGTTGTAGATAACAGCTGATATCAGAGCCTTTATTCTTCACTTCCAATAAATGTGGCCTATTAAACCCAAAATTTCTTTCATTACTTAAATACCTTTAAGAACTCAAGTTAATTTAAGCACACTTCTTACCTAAACTTTGTCAGCTTGCTTMKATACTTTGTTGAAGTTTTCTGTCCTYCTGTGCAGRTATGCGATCAAGGGTGTGTTAATGATTGACAGGTACCTAATAAGGTAAGGGTGCATATTGATTTACGATATTTCCTTCTAGAAGATTCTGTGTATTTGTTTTTTAGCAATTTTGTAAATAATGTAATTTTTATAATATGATTTTTAGTAAGATATCTATGCAGGTATGTTTTCAATAGATTGAGCAAGGGTCGCAAATTGTATGAAAATATTTCACAGTTTGAAACTCGAGCGAGATTTGGCTTTCGACAACAGCTGATATCGTTTAAACTTCGCTAGCTTGTTCTTCACTTGCAATAAATAAAAGATTTCTTTAATCATATCTTATAAATCAAGTTAAGATGCTTACAAATGCGATAATTTAAGCACGCTACTTACCCAAACTTTGTCTGCTTGCTTGGCTTCGTCGAAGTTCCTGTTATGCAGCTGGTATCGTTTAAACTCGTCTCCTTATACTTTACTAGCAATAAATGTGACCTAAAACCCAAGATTAACCTCAATATATCTTGGAAATCAAGTTTAAATTCTTGAAAATGCGATAATTTCAGGAGATTCTGACACTACTTACAGAAACTTTGTCTCGGTTGCTCGAAATAGCTTCACTTCCTGCTGTGCAGTCCCATGATCAAGGGTGTGTTAATGATTGACAGGTGCCTTATAAGGTGACGACGCATTTTGATTAGGGAAATTTCCCTCACGTGATGATTGCTTTTAGCAGAAGATTGTTTATTTTTAA